AAGAAGATAGCAGGAGGGGAAGAATGAAGGGGAGGAAGTCGGAGGGGGAGACCAACCATTAGAGAAGATGGACTCTGAAAAACAAACTGAGGGTTCTAGAGGGGAGGGGGGTTGGGGGATGGGTTAGCCTGGTGATGGGTATTAAAAGAGGGCACATTCTGCGTGGAGCACTGGGTGTTATGCACAAACAATAAATCATGGAACAGTACATCAAAAACTAATGATGGAATGTATGGTGATTAACATAACAATAAAAAATTATTTTAAAAAAATCAGAAGAGTGTCAAGTAACAAATAATACTAGGACAATTGATAAGTTATTTAGAAAAACAATAGAATCTTACTCCTCTTGATTTTTAGTCAGAGTGTAGGAGCTCGGAACTTAGAAATCAGAGCATGAAGGTTTCCTTCTGTGAAATAAAATTTAAGATCAACACTAAAGTGTCTTATCTACTCTACTACCTCATTGAATATATTGATCCCCTTAGCTGGGCTGACGGCCTGGGCCCCCTATTCACAAGGGCTCCGAGTTTGGTCTAATGTTCTCTTGGTGCCCTCTTGAGATTCTGAGTTTTTGAAAATGGTGCTGTGTTTTCATTTTGCACTGAGCCCTGCTAATTAGGTAGCAGTCCCGCCTGTGACATTGGTCATCTACGGAAACAAAGTCACAGAGCCAAGCTTTAAAGAAGTAGATGTCCTCATGCTTTCTGGAAAGTTGGAGCCAGCAGGATTAAAGTGTCTGGGCCCCATGAGCAGGACCATCTGTATGGTGTGTGTGGAAGGCTCAAGCTGTCCCAGACTGATGCCACCTAACATTCATTTTATTAGACAAACTCTCTTCCTCCTAGCTCATTCTCAGCAAGCAACCCTTTAATTGTGATTTGCCTTCTTCCACGGTCTTCCTGTGTGGGAGAGAGAGCTGGTCATGCTGACTCCATACTTGATTCAGGGAGTTACTAAATTGGCATTCTGGTGATACTCATCAATGAGGTTCTTTAATGAGAGCCTGCCCCTGAGAGACAGGTCCCCTTCTGTTCGGTTTCTGAGACAGAAGGCTCAAGTCCAGCCTTGATGCTGGTGACTTCACCAGAGTCAAATGCAGAACAGTAGTTAAGAGCAAGGGCTCTGGGGTCAGCCAGACACTGCTGGGATCAGGTATGGGTCGTGTCATCCTAGAATGTGTGATCTGGGCCAAGATACATAACCTCTCTCTGCCCTAGTCTTTCATCTGTCAGGGGGTGATAGGAAACCCGTCTGTCTTAGGGTTGTTGTGAGACTGAATGAAAAAACATACACTAGGTCAGGGGTTCTCACCCTCAGCACTGTTGATATTTTGAGCCAGGCGGTTGGGGGTTGCGGGGGAAGGGGATCCTGTCCTGGGCATCGTAGGATGTTTATCAGCATCCTTGGCCTCCCTCAGTAACGAGTGGCTTCCCCAACAGTCCCCACGGTTGTGACAATGAAAATGTCCCCAGACATTGCCAGTTGTCCTCTGGGGGCCAAAACTGGCCCTGGTTAAGAATCCCTCACTCACTGGCCAATGTGTATCTAGAGCAATGCCTGGAGGAAAGAACGCTAACGTCAGGATTTATAGTAATAATGGCAGTAGTAAGGCTAATGATGATAGTACTCTTCATGCCGTCCGGGCCTCTGCGAAGACATTTGTCAGCTTGTCGCTGATCCTCTGTTCTTTAAATTTCTATATCTCTGGCAGAGTAAAGTCCTTATGAATTAAAGGGTAAATGTAAAAAAAAAAAAAAAAAAAAAAAATCTACTTTTAAAAAACCGGAAGAGAAGTAATCTTTACATTTGCAAAGAAGGAGTTTCCTGGCTCAAAACCAGTGGTGTTTTTCTGATGTTTACTGTTGAGTTTAAATCATATTGGGGAATTTTCTTCCTTGATCTCATTGCATTAAAAATAAACATGCATAACCTGTGACAACTTTGTAATTATAGTGAAAAAGCAAACTGGATAAAATGATTATGAGAAATATAACAAAGTGGTGTTAAGAAACTGGTGTAAACCAAAAAGAAAATCAAATGCATACTGAGGTTCCTCATAAAGGCAAAGGCAGAAATATAGTCAGCTTTATAAACATTTGAACATAGTTCAAATTCAAAATAATTTTTTAAAATTTCAATAATTTTTCATCTAAATTGCCAAGATTTAAGCAGTAACATCCATTTCTGTTTTATAGTTTAAAGGAATCTTCTTACACATTCTTTGTTAGGACAGTGGATGGGTATAGTCCCTCTAGAAGGAAGCTTGGTAGTAAGTATGCCTTAAAAATTGTCACAACTGTTAACCCCCCCAGAAATAACATTTGGGAATAATTCCTACAGCATAATCTGAAACATAGACAAATATTTATGCATGAAGATGTTTATTGCAAGCTTATTTTAATAGAAGCCAGCTAAGTGTCTAGCATTAAGGGAGTGGTTAATTCTAGCTTATGGTAAACAATCAGCAGTCCTTAAAATGATTTTTGCAAAATGTTTCTAATGGCATGTGAAATTCTTACAGTGTTAAATGAAAAAAGCAAGTTTTAACATTGCATATGCAGTATGAAATACACTCAGCTTAAAAACTAGAAAGGAATATGAACATGTTAATCGTATTTGCTCTTGGAAGATTGGGTTGTGGATAATTTATGAAAGGTACTTATAACTGATTAAATTGATCATTTCATAGCAGACTTAGGCTTTTTGGGGGGCCTGTTCTTTAAGTAATTTTTAGATCTTATGCATTTCTGTAGCTTAGAAACGAAGGTGGAAGAGGTGAAACTGTTTCTCTGAATAACAGAACGGAGAAAACAATTGTCATTGTCTTAAAGTGCAGCTTTATATTTTAATAAATTCGTTATAGATTTCAATAGGGAATCATCTTTTCAGTGTAGACTGCTTGCCCTGGATGAAATGAATTAATGTTGTTTTATACCCTGGTTCTCTTTTTATTAATTTTTAAGGTATATTTATTATAGTATATTTCTTGATGGAATAATCTTTCAAATGTCCATTTTTATTTTTATAGTATGTGCAGAAGCTTATAATCCCGATGAAGAAGAAGATGATGCAGAGTCCAGGGTATGTAATTTACTTAATAAATTAATTCTAAATTATACTCCAGTATTGGATCAGGAATATAATAACAGAAAGAGGTTAACAGGCATATAGATTGACAAGAAGTAGAATGGAATTATTTTGACTGTTTCTTTTCCTAGTCTCTCTGATAGCTTACTTCGACTTCAAGTTCTACAGAATTACTTTTCTCCAAAGAGAAAGCATCTTATTCTTTGGATAAAAGGAAAGATGAACATAAAAATTCACTGCAGTTGTGACTTTATTTCTTTTGCAAAAATACAGCCTGGTGAGGGAAAGTGTTTTTAGCTATCTTGCTCATAGAATTAATGCTATTTTTCTGACAGTGTTTCTAGTAAAGGAAAATACTAGGGAAAGCCTTCTTTCTGTTCCTACCAATTTATAACAACAGAAGCTTATTTGGAAACAAAAACAAATCACAGTAGAATTACATCTAAAGTGCCAGTATAAAAGTTCTTACTCTTTAATATCTATGAATAGTTTGTTCAGAAACTGACTTCTTGAAGGTCGTAATGTTTTTGTAAGAATTTGTCCAGTTTTGTTTGAAGCAGTTTTTAAGCTATGTCTTCCGTTCACCTACTATTTATTTAGTAAAAAGTAAACTAAATAAGAGATTACTGTGCCTGGAAATGGAAAGTAATAATTTACCTTTTTTTTGAGTACTTAACTTGGCCAAAGCTCCTCTTTTCTGTTTGGCCTCAAAAGATAAACAAAAATTTATTTCTGTAGCTTTGACAGATACTTAAATAAGATTGAGTTTTAATATGGAAAAGCAAATACTATGTTCCTAAGTCATTGCATCATTAAGCTCCCTGAAATATATGTAGAATCCAGTGGGAGAAAGATCAGGAGTCTTATCTTGAAGGTCTTGAAGGAAATCCCGTTTCATTCCCATACCCGTGGGGGTTCCTGGCAGCCGTATGGGGGGGAGCTCACTGTTTGCTACCAGAACATAAATTAACTTGATAAAGTCTATAAATTCTGGCCTGAAATTACGTTTCCTCAGGATTGAGATACTGTTACTAATGTATAACATGCTGTTAGTACTTCATGTAGTCGTAAAAACTAGGCCTTCCCCATCGTGTCCATGATTTATGTATCTAGCAGAAACAGTAGTGGGTGAGTTTGAAGAGTACACACATTCTTTATATTTGAGTATAAAGGTATACACGATAAAACTTAGTAATTAAGATGTTTGATGAAATGGTTTGATTTAGTAAGAATCTAAACTGAAGGATATTTCAAAAGGACAGTTGAAAAACAATACACAGTATCTCATAGACTCAGACTGTTAGCCACCATTTGATCCATGGGGTAGGTAAAGTGATTGATCACTCCAGTTAATCCCTAACAGTCTTGTATGGGAGGCGGTACCAGTTAAGGTTCATTTGGCTGTGTCATAGAACCCAATCACATTGAGATAAAAATAAAAAAAAGAAAATAAGTATTGGATGTATGCTTGGAAATCTTACAGAATTCCAGAATGAATTGGAAAAAAAAAAAAACCAAACCCCAAAATCAACCCAAGCCGTAGCTGGCGGGCAGGAGCCAGGCCACATCTGGGGTCCTTCCATAGCAGTGGTGCAGGACTTAGAGAATTGTGTTAGGAGACGTGGCTGCCGGTCGCCCTTATTGCCGTGACTCTCAGCTTAAAGCCCTGGTTTCTCTGGGAGAGTTTCTCATGGACCCAGCTTTGGGTAGGGGGCCAGGGACAAGGAGTGCAGCCTTTGGCTACCAGACGACATCACTTTTAAATGAAGGCCGTTCCTAGAGAAGGGAGAATCTTTGTGAGTCGGGCATTCACTGCTAAGAGTTGTCCCCTGTAACACCCTCCATGTTACTTTTAATAGTTTTTTTGTAATTAATTTATTATAATTATAAAGTGCTTCAGGTTCTCCATTAGTTTGACTATTCTCTAAACATGTTACTAAAAACTGCAGTGTTTTTTTGGTCGTAGATACTACAAGGCAAATTGCACTCATAGCCCTTGGAAATGATTACTACAGATTTCAGAATTAATTGGCTCTAAGCAGATACGGGAAAATGTCTGTAAGGAAAACATATATTTTGATAAAGTGCCATTTCATTTGAACATTTTGTATTTCACAGATGATGTATCAAATCCTTAAGTCTCAGATTAGTATAAATATTCTCTGATATAAATTCGAAGAAAATTTAAATACTTAAGACGGATTTTGGAAAAATCACAAATTAGATTTTACCTTTAATAAATGAAGTTATAGGGGCGCCTGGCTGTGTCAGATGGTGGAGCATGCAACTCTCCTTCTCAGGGTTGTGAGTTCGAGCCTCGTGTTGGGTGTAGAAATTATTTTTTAAAAAATCTTAAAAAAGCAAGTGAAAATGTAAGAGTTATATATATCTGCTAGAGAAGAGCTGATAATTTGAAGAATGGGTCATTTCCTTGTTGTGTTACCCCTCAAAATTGTGGGTTCAGTGGCGAGCACTGTGGGTAAGTCCCTGCCATCTTGGGGCTTAGAGGCTAATAGCAGAATTAGACAACAAGACAGTAAACTAATGAACAGTTACAAATATGAAGTGCTAAAAGGAAACCAAACCCCCCATGGACAGGGTCCCTAATTAAACGGAGTAGTTGCAGAAGTGGGACCAGAGGGTAGAGAAAGGAAGTCTTGCCCCAAAGCCCAGGAGCCCATTTGGCTTGACCTCAGCACCCCAGCTTGGGAGCTGTTGGCAGTTCTGAGTGCAGGCATCTGTGGCTACAGGCTGGGGGGCCGAAGGAAGGACGGGCCCTTCATGCTCGGGAAATGTGATAGAGTCCATCCAGGTGTTCTGATTTAAATTTTTTAAAGGTTACCTTCAGCTGTGTGTGGACAATGGGCTGGACAAGTAGGAAACTACCTTGTACAGATAGCCCTTGCTTATTAGCAGAATAGATTTGCAGTGTTTTCTTTAGAGAAAGTGTCTATATACCTTTTATTTATTAATTGGTTTTCTAATTTTTTGAAATGAAAAGACACCAGGGTTTAGAGCAGAGCTGTCTGTAAACCTTTTTTTTTTTAACTGAACAATTTACTCTTTCCAGGTAATAAATATTTAGACTTTGAGGGGCGTACAGTCTCTGTCAAAGCTACTTGCTCTGCAGATGTAGCTTGAAAACAGCCGGGGATAAATCATAAATGGATGAGTGTGGCTGTGTTCCGTTGCAACTTTATTTCTGGGGGCGCCTGGCTGGCTCAGTCGGTGGCATGTGCAACTCTTGATCTCAGGGTGGTGAGTTCTAGCCCCATGTTGGGTGTAGAGCTTACTTTAAAAAAAACAAAAAACAAAAAAACTTTATTATGGACACTTGAATTTGAATTTATAGATTTTTCACATGTTAAGAAGTATTAATTCTTCTGCTTTTTTTCTCCCAATCGTTCTTAGCTTAGGGACCTGCAGGCCCCAGTTTGCTGACCCTGGTTTAGAGCATAAATTCTGTAGCCAGCCCTGCTGGGATGAATCCTAGCTCTGCAGCTCTGAGCTTTCTGACACTGAAGAAATGACATGGGCAAGTTCATTTTAATATATGAGATCATGTGGTATTTTTCTTTCTGTCTCACTTATTTTACTTAGCATAAATTATTACCTGCTTCATGGGGTCAGTTACTAGGATAAAATGAGTTAATATTTTTAAAGCCCTTAAACCAGTGCTTGGCACATAATAAATGCTACATAATTATTTGTTTAACAAACGAGATTTTTACCCTGAAATCAGAAATAAAATTTAATAAAAAAATGACTTCTAGTGTAATAAAAATCACATTTGGGTGTATGGTTTAGTTACACCCTTAGTTATCCAGATGCAGATCTTATATGTAGGATCACACCAAACCAAACAGAAAAAAATGAGAGTCTTTAGAAGTGGGAGAACATCTTTTGAGCAGTTGGTTACAGGGCAGGGGCACCAAAGCCTCAAGGAGTCACCTGATTTCTGACTGTTAGCTTTCCAGAACACAGAACAGGATTTTAATGTGGGGTCTGTAAAAGATAGAAGACTCTCTGAGGAGTGAGGGTGGGGAGAGGGGACAGAGGGAGAACGGAAAACAGGGAGAGCCGTAGACCACAGCAGTGGTGGCAGGATTAAGAACCAGAATTGAAAAGGGTTAATGCATTAAAACACTAGTTAGGAGAGAGAGAGAAGAGGAAAAAGCTGTTGTGTGAGGGGTTCCTACGGAGTGAACAGTCGTGGAGAAAGACTTAAATTTTTTTTTAAAGATTTGTTTATTTATTTTGAGAGAGAATGAGAGAGAGAGTACATGAGAGGGGGGAGGGTTAGAGGGAGAAGCAGGCGTCCCGCTGAGCAGGGAGCCTGAAGCGGGACTTGATCCCCGGACCCCAGGATCATGACCTGAGCCGAAGGCAGTCGCTTAACCGACTGAGCCACCCAGGCACCCAGAAAGACTTAAATTGATAACAAGAGTAAAGCAGGGGCAAGATGGTGCCAAGAATGATTAAAGAAGATAATTTGGGCGATCCACACAAACCCTACCACTTCCTGAAGCGGGTTCCCAAGAGTCCAGAGAACTGGGAGATGGGGTAGAAGGCAGGAAGTGTTCGTGGGATAAGGAATAAGGGACGAGAAATAAATGTAGAACCCACAGTTGGCTTGGCTTTGGGCCTTGGTTGGCTAAGTGGATATGCCACGTTTCTGGAGCATTTACGGGGACACAAAGGCTATCTAAATTCCACAGCTGACGTTGCTCCCTGGGCTGGAGCACCTCCATCTTGGGCCTAGAACGTTTTTTCCGCAGGGGTGCCATGGTATCCCCAACATTTTCTCTCTGAGGACAGAGCTTCTTAGCAGGCAAACATTTTTTTTAAAGATTTTATTTATTTGAGAGAGAGAGAGAAGGGGGGAGGGGCAGAGCAAGGGAGAAAAGGAGTCTCCAGCAGACTCTGCACTCAGCACAGAGCCTGACTCTGGGTTCGACCCCACGACCCTCAGATCACCACCAGAGCCGAAATCAAGAGTTGGCCACTCAACCGACTGCACCACCCAGGTGCCCCTCAGCAGGCAAACATTTTATGATTGCTTTGATTTGAGGTTCTAGTCGGAGTGAGAAGTGACTTTTTGTTTTGTTTTATTGTGTTAACCTTCCTTATTTGAAGTAGGGAGATACAAATTTTGGTTGGCATGATTTTCTCAGTGCACTAATTTAAAAAGTTTCTTGTATAGTAAGCAGTGAGTTAGTAGGCACCAGGGTCTGCTTTTTCTGTGTCCATATGTCGTCTTAAAATCTAGGTTGAGGTGAATATTGATTAGATAGTAAATAAAAGTTTGTATATATCTTACCCATATGGGAAAAAATGCAATGACTTCTTCTCCCACTGGCTGATGTTCTTTTGTGTAGTATATAAATAATACACATACATGCACACCTTGCAGATACTGTGAGTTCAATTTCAGACCACTGAAATAAAGCAAATATTGCAGGAAAGCCAGTCAAATGAATTTTTTGTTTTCCCTGTGCATATAAAAGTTATGTGTATACTCTGTTTTAGCATTGTGTCTAAAAAAACAATGTACATGCCTTAATTAAAAATATACTTTATAGCTAAAACATGCTAACTATCATCTGAGCTTTCAGCAAGTCCTAATAACTGATCACGGATCACCATAACCGATACAGTCATAATGGAAAGGTTTGAAATACTTCACGGATTACCAAAATGTAACACAGAGAGATGAAATGAGCAAATGCTGCTGGAAAAATGGCGCTCAATGCAGCGTTGCCATGCACCTCCAATTTGTAATCACATCTTATCTGTGAAGCCCATTAAGGTGAAGTCAGTAAAACAAGGTGTATGCCTGAATACTGTAAATTTCCTTTATTTGGGCCTATGGTTTTCATTGATATTTAGCCACCTGAGATGGGTTTGAAATGCCGATTCTAATTTCCCATTGTGAGTCTTGGTGTATTCATGAGCACAAAGCTCCCCACTGCCTGATTCCGGCTGATCCAGTGGTGGGGCCAGTGACGGAGGAGCTGGGGCACCTGCTCGTCAGCCCCCACAGCCGCTCTCTGAACATCAGTGCATCGGTGGTCCAGGAGGGTGACTCTCCATGCTTGCTGCTTTTAGGACTGTCTCTTCCTCTCGACTCATTTTATAGTTACAAACTACCCATGTTCACAAAAGAATGGGCCTTTTGGTTCAAGTGGGTTGAGCCTTCCACTCGTCAAAAGAGGCTCTGGAGAGTTGAAACGCCACACTTACAGAGGGCATTCTGTTGGTCTTCGCCCTCCTGGGATGACGCTTTAGGAAGAATAGACTACACTGGTTCTCTTTGAGCTCATTCTAAATTGAGCACACCAGGACCATTGGATTCACCTTTCCTCAAATCCACACTCTAGGTATGTCACCCCATGTTTACGTGCTCCCTTTGGAATACCACTCTCTATGGGGATAGTTACATACATAGTGTGTAAAAATATATTTAACATCTAATGCAATATACGTGTAAGAATTTATTGACTTCGAGAGACTGTCACATTTCAAAGGAAAGGTCTACATCCTAAAAGACTATCGCACTCAGTGGTAGAGTATGAAACAGTATTAGAGAATATCGAGAGAGTATTAAACAGAATGAAGGCAGTCTCCAGACCTTCAGCATAGCCATTGTGGCCTGTTGTCCTTCTGTATGTTCCCACTGGCTGGGAGCTTTGGGGTCTTTAGTGAATAGCCAATCACAGACCTTTACAAAATGAACTTGCTAACCTGGGGGAAAACACCCATTTGAAAAACATTCAAGCGCTCTGTTGATGAGTGTGCACCACGTCTCGAGACAAGGCTGCACTACTTGCCCTTACTTAGGGGGCTGATAGCTTGTGTCTGGTCCCCTAAAGTGAACCTCAGCACTGACAGTTCTCCCCTCTGATGTCCTGCTGGGAAGTTTTATCCCTTATCATAAGATGAGTAGACTAATTTGTTAATGTGGTGTCCTTTTAGATTATACATCCCAAAACTGATGATCAAAGAAATCGATTGCAAGAGGCTTGCAAAGACATCCTGCTGTTTAAGAACCTGGATCCGGTAAGCTACATCTCAGTGACCAGAAATGGGTTTTTTTTTTCAGCATCAGAGTAAAGAACGGTTGCAGGGTCTTGGATTTTACCCTCCCAACAAGTTAACGTCCCCCGGGATGAGGTAAAGCCCCCTCCCCCCCGCCCCCGAGATGCCTGCCTACGTGGTAGTTTGTGTTCCAGGAGAGCAACACTAAGCTTGGGAGGTGCAGTGTCCTTGAAGCCATGAGCGCACAGGCCTGCCTGCCCCTTGTCCGTGGAAGACATTATCTCATCCCTCCAGGTTACTTTACAAGTGTAGCCCTGAGAAATGGCCCAGATGAAGAGAGGGTTGGACCTTGCATTCTTTGTACACCCAGCAGGAGCGTGCACGGTGGTGCGGGGCCCACGGTGGATTGCCTCTCTCACCGACTAGTGATCGTAATGATATTTTCGTGGCTAACTTTTGTATTATATGTATTTTTAAAAGCAACATTTTACTTCGTTTTAAAGGTAGAGGGATTTTTTTCTTTGTAAGGATTTTGAAATCTCTGTTCTTTGGTTCTGGTTTGTTTTTTTTCTAGAAACCCCTGTCCCGTGAGCATGTGATTCACATTTTGTCCTGTGCTTGGACCTAAATGTTCTCTTCCTTCATCTCACATTATGCTTCTTTATTGCTATGTGATCGTTTGGGTTGCCATGATCCTGCTGCCATGACCCAAATGTGGAAACTGAGTCAACTCCTATAGCTTACCTCAACTTTTTTTTTTTAATGTTTTGAGGGTTTCTTTTTTATTTTATGTATTTTTTAGTGAGAGCGAGCACATGAACAGGGGGAAGGGCAGAGGGAGAGGCAGGCTTCCCGCTGAGCAAGGAGCTCGATGTGGGGCTCAATCCCAGGACCCTGGGACCATGACCTGAGCTGAAGGCAGACACTTAACAACTGAGCCACCCAGACGCCTCTTATCTCAACTTTTTTTTGGTCAAACACAGCATCTTCTAGTTTTCAGATTGATGCCCTAGAACATTAAGACCTACTCTTTTTAAGATGAGGTCTTCTTAAAGTCATTTTTATAAAGAGGAAGGTACTGTATTGTATTGAGTGTTCTACACTGGGTCATAGGACACCCTGAAACATTTTTTAAAGATCTTTTGTTTCTAGTACCACATATGTTTCTGTCATGTCCTCCAGGAACACGGATTACATTTTGTGACTTTGGAGATGTTGTTTTAGGACCACACGTATATAATTTTGTCCAGTTTGACCCAGGTCCTCTAGAATTCTGACTGAGTTTGTAAAACTGTGAGCTCTAAAGAATGGGGTTGTTGGTTGTTCGCTCTAATAATGGAAGATTAAGAAATGAAATTAAGGGGTGCCTGGGTGGCTCAGTAAGTTAAGCATCTTACTCCTGATTTCAGCTCAAGTCATGATCTCAGGGTTGTGAGATCAAGCCCTGCATTGGGATCTACACTGGGCATGGAGCCTGCTTAAGATTCTCTTTCTCTCGGTCCCTCTCTCTCTCTCTCTCTCCCCATCCCTCCAAAAAAAAAAAAAAAAGAAATGGAATTAAGATAGAAAATTTAGGAATGGAAATATTTTCTTGTATTAAATGCTAGAATAATTGACTAAAGGGAATTTGTAAAATTTTGATGGGCTTCCACATAATCCCTCATCTCATTTATCTAGAATGATAATGACTCTGTGACATTAAAGGACACTAAAACTATGTGATCTCTAATCATCTTCCACCAATAGGAGTCCAAATAATGATTAGTGGAAAGCTACAACTTTGTGTGTGTGTGGTATTGGAATTAAACTAATTTAGTATTTAACTCTTTCCTCCAGATACACAGAGAGGACAGCTGTAAAATTAATGCTCAGTTTTACCCTTAGGGGTAGGCTTCAGCTAGGGAGATTTCTCTATTTTTCGACTAGAACTTTACTTGGGAGAGTTTCAGAGCTTACCAGAAGCAGGGCTTCTTATACTTTCCTGTGTCTGTCTGTCACCAGAGGATCTTGTTCAGAAGGCAGAGTCTGGTTCAGTAGGTGTGTGGTGGAGCCTGAGAGTCTGCATTTCTCACCGGCTCTCAGGTGAGGCCAGGGGTCCTGGCCCCCAGCCACACTTCCTGTAGCGAGGATGAGTGCCGGCCGCAAAGTGCTCCAGCTCTGGATTTGGATGACTAGCGCGTGTTCCTCTCTGTGCATACTTTCCTGTTGAATCGAAGCCGTATTTCAGTGCTCCAGAAGTGACTGTGTGGTGCTCTCCGGTGCCCCTGTGCCCAGTGATAAATAGATGGGCGTCGGATGGCTGCCAGGAGTGTTTTCCGGAGATGCCGCTGCCTGTTCTGTCTCCTCCTTTCTTGCCATTTCACCTTTAACTCTTTTAAAAACACTGTGAAAATTTTGGATGCATTTAAAATAATTTTTAAAAAGCTTTCACTAGTATATTCTGGCCAGGAACAGCTTTACCTAATTAAAGTGGTGATTTTTATAAACAGTAAATTTTCTTTTAAAGATTTTATTTATTTATTTGACAGAGAGAGAGTGAGAGAGGGAACACAAGCAGGGGGAGTGGGAGAGGGAGAAGCAGGCTTCCCGAGCAGGGAGCCTGATGTGGGGCTTGATCCCAGGAACCTGGGATCGTGACCCAAGCTGAAGGCAGACGCTTAACGACTGAGCCACCCAGGCTCCCCTTATTTATTTTTTTTAAAGATTTTATTTATTTATTTCAGAGACAGAGGGAGAGCAAGAGAGCAAAAGCAGGGGGAGGGGCAGAGGAAGAAGCAGGCTCCCCTTCCCACCCACAAAAAAAAAAAAAAAAGAAGAAGCAGGCTCCCCGCTGAGCAAGAAACCCCAAGCGGGACTCAGTCCCTGGACCCTGATATCATGACCTGAGCTGAAGGCAGATGCTTAACCAACTGAGCCACCCAGGCACCCCAAATAGTAAATTTTTTTAGCCTTTTTTTGCTGCTATGTTGAAGGTCTTCAATATATGTATTTTAAAGGCCATTTCTTGGGGCGGGGGGGAGAAGAAGCCAGTTCACGAAGTTACCAAATTCATGAATTATCATTATTGAATATTTTATAGAGAAGAAGCAAATATATTTACATAGTTGTTTCCAAAAGATGTTTTTTTTAAAAATGTGAGCTCAAGCTATCTTGATTTATTTCCCTACATTTCTGGAAATGATGCAAAATATAGATGAGTAAAACTTTTATTTTTCTCAACAGATTACTACCTAGAATAAATAAAAACCTCCCCAAACATGGCAGATTGAAGATTTTAGGTTAAGCTCATGTTTTAAACAGTCTTCTAGTGTTTCATGATACATATTTTTTTTTTTTACAATACCCAGATGCATTTAAAGTGAATTACATATTCAACTCCAATAACCTGCTTATACAACAGCTCCTTTCACTTTGATGCCCAGACTGCTCACTGTGCTCCGAAGACCATGTAAAGCCTTTTTAGGGACGCCGCAGAAATACTCAGACATGGCTCTTGTCCTTTTGGAACTTATAATTTGATGAGGGATTCAAAAGCAGTTTTGTACAACATGATCCATGCTGTGATGGAGTCAGGACACTGTGTGAGGAGAGGGTCTCTCGGCCCCACCTGGGGATTCAGGGAGCTGGGGAGGCCACGCGAGCTGAGCTGCAGAGAGTGAGTAGGAAGGAGAGTGGTCCTCACGGGAGCCTGCACCAGCAGACCCTGGTGGCGAGAGCTCAGATACGCGTGTGCTGTGTCATCAGGGACCCTTCTTGAATGCCACCCTGTAGTGTCGGCCACGTACTGGAGGCAGTGGGAAGTCACCTTTGAAACATTTTAAGCAGAGAAATGAACAATCAAATGTGTCTGAGGTCACTGCAGGGGCAGGATGGAAGGTAGAAAGGCGGGAAATGGGCTTAGGGAAGGGGACAAGGGGACGGTTTCATAAAATATTCAAGATTAGCAGAAGTTGGCACTTTTTAGGGACCGAACGATTTGTGACCTGTTGGAAAGGGTCTAGGATGACTCCCACTGTCTCGCTGGAATGAACACGAGCTGGTACCTTTTTATGAAACGGGAAGATTTGGAGGAGGAAGGGAAGCAGTAAATACTAACTAGAAAGAAGAATGATCTTGGCCTTTTACGTACTATCCCATCTGAATTCCCTGAAGTCATTGTTTAACTTGGAAATCTGGCACCTCCTAGGCCTCTGAAATTTTTCCTGGGAGGGCTGTATATTCCTATGTTTGAGCACAGCATTTATAATTATTAATCTCTTTGAAGATATCCTTTTCATGAATATTTTAATGCTCGACTCAGTAGGCCATTTTTCTTCTGAAATATTTCTAATTTGAGGCAAACTGAAATAATTTTCCTATGCTCCATGATAGGTTCTTTCATTAATGGAGAGTAAATTGTTATTTTTGAAGTTAGAGACCTTTCATCGAGCTCTAATTTGCTTTCTGTAGAATAAGATGTAGATTTCCTACTGTAGTTGTCAGTCACTGGGATAAGCCTCTGCATATTAAATATTTCCTAAGTTCTTTTCACTCTGTGCATAATTATGGGGAAATTGCATTTTGATTGATTAGAACAGACACCTGTCACAGTGAGAAGTTCTAGAAGAAATGATTGTTCTGTATTTTACCAGGAATTACTTTTTTTATATATCATGTGTGAGTTCCTAAGCTTTATAATGTTTTAAAATGCAGCTAAATACCAAGACAACAAAAAAATTTACTAGAGCAGTGTATTTCATTTTTTTTCTCCATTTGACATTTAGAGAAAGAGCTAATCAATAAAGCTGATATTCTCTCTCCATCTGGACTAAAAAAGTTGGAATATAAATAGTAAGTGCAACAAAATATTAGTAAAACATTTAATCAAACTTCATAATTTTGATGGGTGACCATATGCTGCCTGGTTGATGAACTCATTTGGATAAAATGGTCCCCATGGGGCCAATTAGCCACACATCCAGACAGCACTGCCACACTGGCTTCATCTTCCGCAGGGGCTCCTGTTTCACAAGTAGGTGTCAGAGCTCACACAGGGACCAAGGGAGGGGATGAAAACCCCTTCCTGCAGGACCCACCCCCATGTTCCTCCAAAAGCTTTGCTTAGCTCACGGGAAGATGCAGTAGTATATTCTCTGTTCAAATGGAGAGCTCGGGTTTTTTAATTAAAAGTTCTAAGTCTGTTTGCATACACAATTTATAAGAATCCAAAAAAAACAAAAGAGTGGTCAGGGAGAGAAAATCTCCCTCACACCCCAGCTTCTCAGGAGCCACGTGTTTTGAGCATTCTCATGGGTATTTTTCCAGGGTTATGCTTTGTACAGAGCAGTATGTTGTTTTTTTTAAATTTCAGTGGCAGCAAAGTCTCCATAGTGTCCTGCCCCATTCTTCTTTTTACTTAGCAATCTATCTGTATTTGTAGAGGTTCTGTATTCTTTTTAAAAATTATTTGTGGGCACCTGGGTGGCTCAGTCGTTAAGCGTCTGCCTTCGGCTCAGGTCATGATCCCAGGGTCCTGGGATCGAGCCCCGCATCGGGCTCCCTGCTGAGCGGGGAGCCTGCTTCTCCCTCTCCCACTCCCCCTGCTTGTGTTCCTGCTCTATCTCTCTCTGTCAAATAAATAAATAAAAATCTTTAAAAAATAAAAAAATAAAAATTATTTGTGTCAGGGAGGTGCCTGGGTGGCTCAGTTGGTTAAGCGTCTGCCTTCAGCTCAGGTCATGGTCCCAGGGTCCTGGGATCGAGCCCCACATTGGGCTCCCTGCTGAGCGGGGAGCCTGCTTCTCCCTCCGCCTGCTGCTCCCTGTGCTTGTGTTCTCTCTCTCTGTCAAATAAAAAATAAAAAAGCTTTACAAAAATTATTTGTGTCAGTATGATTTTTGATTTTATAAAAGTTTAAATTGGTAACATTTATGTAGTATAAAGCTAAACCAGGAAAACGCATTAACATTTTGCTGTTGTATCATTTATTAAATTCGTATATATAACCAAGGAGGGCCCGCATCATCAAAATAATATTGCAAAAGAAGAGCAAAGTTGGAGGACTCACACTTGCCAATTTTAAAACTTCTGCTACAGGGGCACCTGGGTGGCTCAGACGGTTAGCGTACCGCTCTTGGTTTTAGCTCAGGTCATGATCTCAGGGTTGTGAGATCGAGCCCCATGCTCAACAGGGAGTCTGCTTGAGATTCTCTCCCTCTGCCCCTCTCCCCCTTTCTCTCTAAAATAAATAAATCTTAAAAAAAAACAAAAAACCTATACTGCAGAGCTCCAGGAATAAAAACAATGTGTTACTGGCCTGGGTAGACACATAGAACAGTGGAATAGAATTGAGAGTCTAGAAACAAACCTATACATTTGACTTGATATAGTCATTTGATTTTTGATGAGCGTGCCAAGACCATTGGATGGGGAAAGAATAGTCCCTTCAACAAATGGTGCTGGGACAACTGGATATCCCACACACACAGAAACCAAGTTGGGCCCCTCCTTTACACTGTACACAAAAATTAACTCAAAATGGATCCAAGACCTAAATGTAAGCTCCCAAACTATAAAAACTCTTAGAAGAAAACACAAGGGTAAATCTTCATGACCTTGAATTTATTTAGCAGTGGATTCTTAGGTGGACTCCAAAGATAAGAATATGAAAAGAAAGAAATGGGACTTCATAAAAAATAAAAAAATTTGTGCATCAAAGGACATTATTGAAAAAAGTGAAAGACATTCTACCGAATGGGAGAAAATAGTTGCAAATCATATATATATAATGGCCAAATATCCAAAAATATATAAAGAACTCTTATAACTCAATAACAAAATAACCCAACTTAAAATTAGGCAAAATACTTGAATAGACATTTCTCCAAAAAAGATATATAAATGACCAATAAGCACATGCAAATATTCTCAACATAGCTAGTCATTAGGGAGATGCCAATCCTGAAACCACAATGAAATACCAGCCCAGCACTACTAGGGTGGGTATAATTTTTTTTTTAAGAAGGGAAAATAAGGGTGCCTGGGTGGCTCAATTGGTTAAGCGACTGCCTTCGGCTCAGGTCATGATCCTGGAGTCCCGGGATCGAGTCCCACATCGGACTTCCTGCTCAGCGGGGAGTCTGCTTCTCCCTCTGACCCTCTTCCCTCTCGTGCTTTCTATCTCTCATTCTCTCAAATATATAAATAAAATCTTTAAAAAAAAAAAAAAGGGAAAATAAGTGTTGGCAAGGATGTGGAGAAATTGAAACCCTAGTACTTTGCTCGTGGGAAAGAAAATGGTTTAGGCACTGTGGAAAACAACTTGGCAGTTGCTCTAAAAGTTCTAGAATTACCATATGACTTAGTAATTCCACTCCTTGGTATAACCCAGAAGAATTGACATAAATATTCAAACAAATACTTGAATATGAATGTTCAGTAGCCCCACTATTCACAGTAGCCAAAAGCAAAACAATCCAAGTGTCCATTGACAGCTGAATGGATAAACAAATTGTGGTATATTTACAGTGGAATATTATTCATCCATAAAAGAGGAATAAAGTAGGATATATCCAGAACAAGGATGAACCTCGAAAACCTTATGCTGAGTGAAATAAGGCAGAAGCAACAGGACACGTTGTATGATTGCATTGTAGGAAATATCCAGATTAGGGGAATCCACAGAGATAGAAAACAGGTGGGTGTTGCCAGGGGCCAGTGAGGGGAGAATAGCAAAGTGACTGCTTAGTGGGCATAGGGCTTCTTTTTGGGGCGATGAAAATGTTTGGAAACTAAGAAGTGGTGGTTGCACAACTTTGTGGCCATTGAATTGTTCACTTAACCATAGTTAATTTTATGAGAAATTTAACCTCACGAAAAAATTACGTATATATAATTCATCTGAGCACCTTGGTTTCCATTAGTTTCAATATTTAATGGCTCAGATATACTTTGAGGAGGCAGTTAAATCAATGGTTTACAGAATCAATCACTGAAGCACTTCCACAAAGTCCCTGGGTTCCACAAAACCCAGTTTGAGAAACACAGCCCTTTTGTCTGAGGGTCTTTGAATTGTTCCTGTATTTGTTCTGAGGAAAGATTTCTTCACCTTCTAGTTTATTCTCACTAGCTGAAGTTTATCCTTAAGCCTTGTCAACCACACTTGAGCAGAATAAAAATTTTATGTAGTTTAGGTAGTTGAAGAATAGGTTTGACGTTTCTGGCTTCAGTGTTAATAAATCTGTCCTACGGAGTTAAATGGTTGCTTCTTGAAGAGAACTATAGTGGTAAAGAACAGTGATAACAAATTTGCCATAGTCAATTTTGGATTTGCCTAAGTTGTTTTTCTGTTATGTGTTTTTGTTTTTGGTGCTAAAACCAAACAGGATTGGAGCCAGAATTTGAATTCACTAAGTATTTAGTTCTAGTGATGACTAAACACAGGGAAGTTTTAAAAACAATCTTTAAAAGGCATTTGCAGTCATACTTTACGAACCTGGTCATTTTAGTTGCCAAGGTTCTATTTCATGTGTAAGGTATATGGTGTTTGGTGGTTGGTTTTTCAATATATTACAGTGGTGATCATTGTGCTGAAATATTCTGAAATAGCTAATTATAATTACTTTCATTCAGGTACTGAAGATGAAAGGAAATACATAATCATCTCATTTGTTAGGTGGCGAGAGTGCTCGCTTCGGCAGCACATATACTAAAATTGTTAGGTGGCGAGAACAACTGTGCTGTGTACTTTTTCTTTTTTTGACAAGATTTAATGGCAGTGATGATATTTCTGTTTCTTTGAGCTGGTTCACAGAAATATAAAGCCAGTTACGGTTAGTTAAAGGAAAATATTGTAGACAAACATAAGGATTGTATCTTTTCTTTTTAAAAAATAGGAGCAGATGTCTCAAGTGTTAGATGCCATGTTTGAAAAACTGGTCAAAGAAGGGGAGCATGTAATTGATCAAGGTGATGATGGTGACAACTTCTACGTGATTGATAGGTAAGTTTTGCATAACCTCACTGCTGAAATGTAATGACCCTTCTGTATAAATTCTCAGCGGTTCTTATAACGCCTGGCAAATTAATATTTGATAGTTGCTGTTACCTCTTTAATATTCAATAGTGGCTGTTACCTCTTTGTTCTTGTTACTCCATAATACGCCCTGGAAGCCTGCTGTGAATACGTGTGGTGAAACCACATTAGATCATGAAAAGAGGCCTAGTTTATAGAAGAATGGATGATTTTGGTTAGTTAAATCTATAAATCTCAGTCATTTACTGTGAGCTGCTTCACTTATTAACTTTGGCTTGAGAGGATGCCTGTTACACTTAGGAGGGAGGCAGAGCACAGCATCTGGGGTGTTGAATCATATAACTCAATCTGTTCTTTTTTTATTAACGATAAAGTAAAACATGCACATGGTAGAGAGGGTAGTTTATGTTCTTTCCAGAAATTGTTTATGCATTCTTGTGCATTAAAAACATAGAGAAGTTATTTTAAAACACCGTAGAGAGATGATTTTATTTAAATAAGAAGGTGGGCATTCATATTGAAAATGTAATTTCAGAAAACATCTTTACTTTGTCAAAGAAGAGCGTGCTTTAAGCAGTAATTAGGTAAGAGCCCTAACTGTACTTGGGGGAGCAGTCTGAACGGAGGCTATATTTCCTCACTTTGGTAAAGTGATGCTGAACTGCCCCTCCCGTTTTGGGGGCCACACAGGTCATCTCGCAGCCTGGCCGGATTCATTGGGTTGCATTTGCTTCTCTGGGTAGAGTTGTGCTCAGCTCAGAGCCTTGTGGAAAATCACACCCCATCTGTCTGCACAGCCTCATTTCTTGACTTGGCTCTGTGGTTGGCATCTCTCCTATATCAGCAGTCATGCACGCTCTCCGCATGGAGGGCTCTCACCGACTCCTCCATTTCCTTGTCTTAATGCCGTGGTGACCTGTAGAGCCATTGTCGAGGGCTGGGGTGAGCTGTCTGATTTTAGAACAGACCCACTTATTTCATGTATAAATTAAAGTCTTGATTTTTGTATCCTTAACAGCTTTCATCAGTGAAACACCTCAGAAATTCACTCAGCTGTTACACTGTATTTAACTGTAGGGTATATGGCAAACCGAAATACGGTTAAAAACTCCATTACATTTCCTGGTTCACTTAGATCCTAAGCAGCCACTTGACAGATGAAAACTCCCAGGCGCACAGAAGTGACAGGAGTCGGTGAAGGTCAGCCAGCTCGGCATCCGGTCTCTTGGCCACTGTTCGTGGTCTTTCTGTGGCTCCACTCTGCCCCACGCTTCACATTATCAGAGAGAAATGTGTATGAGAAGGTGGTACAGGCTTTAGACCATGTGCTTGGCAGCTGGACTGGAAGCTCATTTTACTTCTTATCAGCACATTTGTTGTGTACTTTATTCTGTTCAAAGTAGAAAATGTATAAAATGGTTTTGGTGCTAAAGTGTAAATAGTGTTAATAGAAGAATTAGTCTGTACTTGAAAAATAGTCATGAAACCCATTCTAGAAGGTATCCTTGAAAAGCCCTTCTATCCATGAACATCAAGCCATTTATTATCTTATTCGTTAATGTTTGTGTAGTATCTTGGGTTTTGCTTTTGTTTTATCTTTACCATTCATAATCCTTTCCTAATCTTAAAAGCTCTCCCTTTTTTGTCTTTGTTAGGGGTTTAGCCAACAGAATAAAGCCAGAGAATTTCTGCTCTCTGTGCTCCCAGGTGTTTCAGCAAGACTTGAAGCCATGTTCTCTGATAAAACACAGTGTATGGGAAGACTGTCGTCTGCAGGGAGAATGTAGTTCTGTAGATACAGGGTCTGTGAAATGTGTAGGACAGCGCCAGGCAGACGGAGGGCTGCTTGCCTAGAACATGAACCCAAATAAAAGATAAGCACGAAATAAAAAGACCTTCAAAAAGACCAGGATCAGATATTCAGTCTGAATTTCTACTACGTTTTGCTCTAGCTTGGGGGTTAGTCTGCAGTAAAGCCCCAGATGATGTAAAGAGCCACAGTAAACTCTTTAGGCTTTGAGGCCATGTGGTCTCAGCTGCTCAGCTGTGCTGCTGTGGTACATACAGATGAGCCATCAAGAAGGTGCAGGCAAACCCGTGTGTTTGTGTTCTGGTAAAACTTTATTCATGAAAGCAGGCAGCCAGTCCGGGGGCCTTGCTCTGCTGGCCCCTTCCTTAGATGATACAAGAGCCTTGTAAGTGCTGTATAGTAGGACTGACCAAATTGTTAGAGCTCTGTTCTTTTAAAAAAAAAGTTATCTTCTTCTGATTTCAAGAGTAATACGTGTTCTCATTAGACACAAAAACTAAAACATCCTTCACTGTTCTTACACTCAGAGATGATTGCAGTCAGCTGCTTCAGAAGGATGTCTGTGCATATTCTGTTCGGTTGGAGTCTCATTTTATCATTTATTTTATTAGAAACTTTTATCGTTCGGTCTCATTTTCCCCCGGCAGGCACATGTCTGGTCCCTACTGCAGTCTAGCTGATGGTGTCTTCCCGCTTGTCTGGCACGGATGTTTTCTCTGGCACTTTCAACGTCCTTTTACTACTTGTCATCAGAGGAGAACGGGAAGCTGGAAAGGATTTCATCGCACACGGCTCTTCTCTGAAATGATGTTCTATTGTCATGAGATTTGACTTGAGTTACTTTTACCTCTTCTTTTTCATCTGTCCAACAGAGGAACATTTGATATCTATGTGAAATGCGATGGTGTCGGAAGGTGTGTGGGGAATTACGATAACCGCGGGAGTTTCGGTGAACTGGCCTTAATGTACAATACGCCCAGAGCAGCTACAATCACCGCTACCTCTCCTGGTGCTCTGTGGGGTTTGGTGAGTGAGAGATTTATTTCACCCGAGTGTTATTTATGAAAACTTGTTATGATGAAAGCCAGGCAGGTAGAGTCTTTTGGTTCTAATAGGTGGATTTCTTTGCGATCCTCCTCGGTCACTGGGGTATTTATTAAGCAGCCACTGGGTGCTGCACTTCTGGGCGCTGGGTTAAATCTTCATGTTCTTTCCCAGCAAAGTCAGGAGCTTAACCTACTGGTCCTGGGAAAGAGACTCAGATCCGAAATGCTCCTCTTTTACCCACCGGTAAAAACCAGCCACCCAGACAAATGAACAAGGCCTCCAGCGCTGTTTTTTCAGGTAGCTTTCTGGGGTATGACATGATCTGTGCTTCCCTAGGTGTGGTCCCCGGAACAGGAGAACCTATGTCACCTGGGCACTTTGCTGGAAATGCAAATTCTGGCCCCGCCCCCTTACTGATTTGGGCCCACTGAATCAGAAGCTCTGGAGATGGGGCACAGCGATCTGTGCTTGAGCAAACCCACCACGTGACTCGGATGCATGCTAGCTAGAGTTTGAGAAGCCTCCATAAACAGGTTCTCTTGGTGTGCTTTAAAGTGGTAACAGCTTTGCCTCGAAAAGCAGCTGGGTAACATCAAAATACTTGATGCCTCTGTTTCTCACCTGGATGCACATCAGAATTACTTGAAGGTGGCGGAGGGGGGGGTGGAAATGTTAAAAAAAATTCCTCTTGCTGAGGCTCCACCACAGACCAATTTCATCAGACCCTGCCGGGTTGGGACCTGGGCTTTTAAAATAAATTTGTTAATGGTGATATTTCTATAAGACTTAAAAGTTGGTTTGAGGTGAGGTGGGAAGGGAGATTCTTTTCATATGTGATATCAGGATGCAGAGTAGCTGATTCTAGAAGGAGGTCTCCGATGTGCTTACAGATCACCTGGGAATATAGTTAAAATGCAGATCCTGATTCACTGGATCTGGAATGAGGCATATGATTTTGCATTTCTCATAAGCTCCTAGGAGACCCCAGTGCTGTTCTGCCCAGAGCACACTTTAAGCAATGCTGATTTTAGGACATGCTTGGCAGTGCTTGTATTTTCTTTTTAAATTGTTGAAAACGGCCCACTCTCTAGTTTTGACATGTATTTATTAGATTAGTTCTCTCAAAAATCCTTTTGTGGAAGGAGAAGAGATTGAGAGAATAGGACGTCTGTTTGCAGTCTGGGTCCCAAGGACCGCATGTAGCTTTACATAAGTAACCCGTTTTTCCCTGTCACCTCAGCCATTTAACTCTGAAGTCGGTTCAGCTGATAAAAATCTCTTGCTCAGAGAAAACATATATACATACTGCACATTTCTTATTAGAATCAGGCAGTTACTGTTGCCGTGGTAAAAATGTGATGAGTCACATTTTAAGTTGTACAAGAAAATTTGGAATTGTTTCACACGAGAAGAAACCCGTCGTGGTCTGGCGTGTTTTAAGGACTGTTAAAGATTTGAATACCCAAAGCCAGCAAAGTAGAAACCCCAAACCAGACTGGGCTAGGTCCATAGGACCTGTTTGCCAGTTATCAGAGTGGTTGGCTCCTTCTAGAGTCCTCTGTGACCTGTTCCATTAAGGAAGGCATCCGCTGAAAGTTCGGTCATTCGGATGAGGTCGCCAGCCAGGGTCAGAGGGGTGCGCGGTCCGGAAGCCGCCTCCCGCACATCCTTGGAACAAGATCACACGTGTAGCAGGTTGGCCCCTCTGAGTACTCATAATTTGCGGCCCTGGCAGAAACCTTAAACTGGGTACCAAGGCCCAGCATTTCCCAGTGTGTGTGATACTTAAGCCATCAAGAAGGATTTAGCATTTTCAGAGATTTTTACTTATCTGTGCATGTTATTCAGGTGGGCAGTTTGTGATGGTCACCTTGGGGTATGTGCCTAAGTGCAGGAACTTTTTAAAAATTAAAATTAACCTATCACTTAATCCTTCAAAGATATTTTTTAAGAGCCACTTACTGAACTGTCCCCTTTCCAGGGAAAGTCGAGTAGAAAAGATGTTTTTCTTTTAAGGCCAGCACATTGGAGCTGTGCCATATAAATGCAGGTAGAAAGATAAGCAGATCCCAAAAGTCCTTTGTTAGACTAGTCTAACTTTGTAAATAGTACTTGGTCACTGTTAGCCTTAAGGGTTAACTGATGTGCGTGAACCTGCCGATGATTCAGGGCAATTATTGAAATGACTAGGATGAAAACATTTGAAATGGGACTTTGTGGATTTTAATTATATGTCACAGTGGGTGTGAAGAGGTGGGCCACTAACACAGTTTTTCCCGAGACAAATACCTCATTGTGGTTAATTTTTAATCACTAAACTATTTCTCGTCTTCTCTGTTTTGCAATAAACTCTGTCCATAAAATGGTGTTGCAGCCGGTTCCCAAACCTGATTATAGATCAGAATCACTTGGGGAGCTTTTATGACCTATAGGTTAGTGAGCCCTACACGCAGACATTGTTCGAGTCATTGAAGTATGGGGTCTGAGAACCGTTTTTTTAATGCTATAGCTGATTCTGATGCAGACCCAAGCTTGGAAATCATTTCAATAATTTTACTAATTATCTTGCGCATTTTTCTCTTTTAAAAAAGTTATTAGTATTACAACTCCAAATTACAGCCCTTGTCAAATTGTAATAAACTAAATTGGGGAACAGGATGTTTGCTTTCCTAGAGACTTTACACCCACGCTGGCATTTTCCTCCATCCCGCCAGTTCAGCTAAATTCAGCCTCACTGTGTCGGACAGTAATTTAATAATTAACATATCGCAGTTTTATTGGATATTAAAGTGGTGTAATTGTTGATCAGTATATGACAAACCAATGTAATTCTGGGGGCTCTTAACTAAGAACCATTATAAATAGTGTCTTACCGGGATTTTTTCAAAATAAAGTTTGTAGGAAAACCATTGTTTGAGCTGTTTGTTATCTTTAAAATTTTCCCTAGTTTCCTAATTGAGTTCTGTATCTTTGAGGTTAAGTAGTATAAACAGAGGAATGTTGGAGAACCCTGAGAATGATAAACACTGGCATTTGACTCTGATATTCAAGAAAGTTGTAGTTCCTCTATGCACATTTTTTAAAAAAGAAAAACTGACATAATGTGGATGTGACAACCTAGCGTACATAATTTTTTCAAGAGCTCATTATAATTGCTTTATGATTAAAAAATTCAAGTGTTTTTCATGCATTTTTTTCCTGCATCCCACATTTAGATGTCCATTTGGAAAGATCACAACCAGTATATTTACCAGTATATTACTGTATTTATTTATGTGTCCTTGTGTATAACTGAAATAAATAACTAAACAACACTTTACTAAAAGGTGTGCATGCTGAGATTTTCCATTCTTTATTTTTTACAAAAATGCTGGTCATGGGTGAAGGGGGTCAAAAGGTACCAACTTCCAGTTATAAAATAAATAAGACCTGTGATGTCCTGTCCACCACGGCCACTGTAGTTCATGCTATATTTGAAAGTTGCTAAGAGTGTAGATCTTAAAAGTTCTCACCACTAGAAAAAAAGAATTTGTAACTATGTATGGTGATGAGTGTTAACCAGACTTATTGTGGTGATCATTTCTCAATATATATGAATGCCAAATAATTATATTGTACACCTGAAACTAATATAATGTTATAGGTCCATAATAACTCAGTTTAAAAAAATGCTGGTCATGTTCCGCTGACTTGATTTTGGATATCCTGGGGATGTCATCCCCAGTAAAAGAACTTGTGTTAGCCCGAACTCAAGAGACATGGAGTGCAGTGGTGGCTTCCAGGGGCCGAGGGTGGGAGAGATGGGGAGATGGTGGTCAGAGGGTGGAAACTTCCAGTTACAAGGTGAATGAGTCCTGGGGATTGAATGAACAGCATGGTAATTATCATTAACATTGTACACTTGAAAGTTGCAAAGGGAGTCTCAAATGTTCTCATTACAAAAAAGAAAGGGTAATTATGTGAGGTGATACCAGTATTAACTAACCCTTTTGTGGTAATCATTTCTCAATATGTAAGTGTATCAAAGCAAGGTTGTATACCTTAAACTTTTACACAATGTTATAGATCAGTTAAATGTCAATAAAGCTGGAGGAAAACCAAGACAGGGCTAGTGCTTTTTTAATGGTGCAATAGCACCACCTTGTGGGTTTATCCCAGTTACATGTTGGCCAGTTCTGAATAAAAGGAAATCGTTTCCTTTTTTTAAAAAAAATGAAAGTAATATTTTATGTGTGTCTATATTTTATGCCTGAAGAAATAAAAAAAAATCTGAAAAAAGTATAACGTTAAACTTTTATTTCAAAATCTTCAGTTATTGTTTGTTCCTTATTGGGACTAAAATGAAACTATCTCTTCAAACTTTTTTCCTAATAAAATCTACCTCTTAACTGTCTTTGTATCTGCTATTCTGCCTTTAGGACAGGGTAACCTTCAGGAGAATAATTGTAAAAAATAATGCCAAAAAGAGAAAAATGTATGAAAGCTTTATCGAGTCACTGCCATTCCTTAAATCGTTGGAAGTAAGTATATGTTTATGCTTTTGTTTTATTTTGCTTTAAAAGTTGTTCTGTTTGGAACATTTAGTTCTGTAGGAAAGTTTCTTTGAATATTTTTATTTGAAAAGATTACATGATGGTGTTTGTATAACATGGTATTTCTTTCACTACCTGTAGCTGCAGATGTTTTGTTTTGCTTTGTTTTACAAGTAATAGACTCCTGTGAGTGTCTAGAACAGATTTATATGTGGTCTTTATCTAAAAGCAGACTTCATGGATATTTACCCAAAGAATACAAAAATAGTAATTCAAAGGGATACATACGTCCTGATGTTTATAGCAGCATTATCTACCACAACCAAATTATGGAAATAGCCCACATGTCCGTCAACTGATGAATGGATGAAGAAGAGGTGTATATATATATACACACATACACACAATGGAATATTATTCACCATAAGAAAGAATGAAATCTTGCCATTTATGACATAGATGGAGCTGGAGAGTATAATGCTAAGGGAGAAATAAGTCAGTCAGAGAAAGACAAATACCCTATGATTTCACTCATGTGTAATTGAAGAAACAAAACAGATGAGCAGAGGGAAAGTAAAGAGAGACGAAGCAAGAAACAGACTCAACTCTAGAGAACACACTGATCGTCACCGGCGGGGGGGTTGGGGGATGAGGATTAAGGAGGCCAGGGGGACTTGGTGTGATGAGCACCGGGTGTTGTATGGAGGTAACGAATCCCTATATCGTCTGCCTGAAAACTAATATAATACTGTATGTTAACTGACTGGGATTTAAGTAGAAACTTAAAAGATGTAAAAGCAGACTGAAGTAATGATAGAAATGTGGGCAGTAACTGGTTACACCTTTACAGGGAGAGCTTGTCGAAACACGGTGTGTCTTTTACTTCCCAGTCAACCTTGCTGTTTACCCCTCTGCTCCTTTCCTCTTCAGATTGGCATTCCAGGGTCTCTTTTGTTTTCAGGCTATGCTTACTCACTTGGTGAACTTGTCAAATTCCCTGGCTTTAAACACTGCTTATACACTGATGCCTCCTAAAATGGCCATTGCCAGGCCAGGTCCCTCTGTCGAATGGCAGACGCATTTATCCAATTGCATGGTTGACATTTGCGCTACAGGTCTAATCGACATCTCAAACCTAGCGCGTCCCAGCTCTCCTCCTCCCCTGCCTTCCCCACCTTCCTGTGTCTGGGCCACAAGCCTCAGGATTAGCACTGATTCATCTCCTGAAATTTCTCTCTGTTGGGTTGTCGGTACACGCCTGGTGGAGGTTTTGGCCACGTTACAGAACGCGTATGACGCAGCTGATCGTGTCTCGCGGCATCTCTTTTAACATGAAAGATCAGGGGCTGGAAATGCACGTGCCTTCAGAGTTAGGCAGGTGTAACGTAAGGGAGCAGAGGAAGCCAGGGTGGGGTGTCAGCTAGACTCGGCGCCAGCGCCAGAGCGGTCGCCGAACCCCAGCCCGTTGTTGCTGTGTGCCATTCGTGTGGGCTGGGGGTTGCTGAGGCTCCTGATTGTTCATGAGAAGCTGAGAATTTGAGTGCACCTGAAGGAAATCTATTTTAAAATGCTGGCACTTAATACAACACACACACAAAACCATGTGCTCTATTTATTTGGCCTCTAGGCTACCAATTTTTAACTTCTGAAACAGAAGTTTAGTCTGTTTAGTTTAGTCTGTTTAATCATATCTTTTTTTCACTGAAGGTTTCTGAACGCCTGAAAGTGGTGGATGTGATAGGCACCAAAGTATACAACGATGGAGAACAAATCATTGCTCAGGTATAGTGCTTTTTAGGTAATTCAGCTTAGGGTTATATTCCAAAAGGTTCTTCCACGAGGCCGATCTTGATAAATTTTTCATTTGTGTCTGTAATTAGCATGTAGTGGTGGATTAAATGAATATTACTTACACCAAATGACCTCTTAAAAGTGGTTTGATTTACAGCCATTAAGCTATTTGAATATTTTTATTTATATAATTAACTCCTGATGAATATGTATTAAATCATCAGATGGATTTCTGGATAATTTTCTACTTGTACATGACATGAAATTTAAACGTATCTACAATAAGATGTCATTGACAATCAGAAAAAACAGGTGAGTGCATTCCTTGAGATAACATGGACCCAGAAGTTGCGCCGGGAGTTCTGTAGTTTTGCCTGATCAGTTCAGGAGGCAGCTTCCTGGGGCTGCTCCCTGATAAAATTAATCAGGAACGGAACACACTGTACCGTGTACTGTATCAGCCTCCAGGCACGCAATGGGGGCCGACGTGCTGTTTCACCCCTAATGCTTCTCTGAGATCCCAGTTGGAACGGGTAGGAATACACACCTTGGTTACGACAGAACTGAAAAAACAATTACACAGCAGTCAACAGACATATTATGATTTTAAACACTTGAAGTGCCAAGAAGTAGGATTTATGAAGACAGTTGGAGTTCACAGATAAAGCAGACGGATGATAGGGCCCATATTTCTTAGTTACCGTTCTAAGCCCTGGGCGAATGATTTAAACAGATTTTAAGGTTCTCTGATTTTTGTATCACAACATTTATGCTGTATTATAATTTTAATCTAAAAGTATTGTCTTTTCTTTTGATACATGTGGAATAAGATGTAAGGTCTGTGAGCCTGAGGCAAGAATAATTGTTAGAAGGCAAACACACAAGTAAATCACAAGTCTCTCTCTCCTGTACACACATGTGCACACAGATTATAGTCAGGGGTTGGAAGGAAGTGGAGTCAAATTAGAGAACAAGGCTGAGGTTCTACTATGGAAGTTGAAAAATAACCAACCACAGAGTACTTTTGACATGATTCTTTTTAGCCTTTTATTTTGAAATACTTACAGATGCATGGTAAGTTGCAGTGATCATACAGAGGTCCCATGCCCTTCCCCCACTTTCTCCCGGTACCCCTGGTGTCACTGCACTACACACCATCACACCTACGATACGACACTGGCACAACCCACAGACCCTGGTGTTGTCACTTCTACGTGCATTTAGAGCACGCTTTGAAAACAAAATTATCAGGCGCCTGGCTCACTTGGTTAGTAGAACACGTGACTCTTGATCTCGGGGTTATGAGTTCGAGCCCCACAGTGGGCGTAGAGATTATTTAAAAATAAAATCTGAAAAAACAATTACACAGCAGTCAACAGACGTATTATGATTTTAAACACTTGAAAATTTAACAGGAAGCTTTCATGATACAAAATAAGAGAAAGGAGATTATGTATATGTATTAATCTTAGGGTTTATTGAAAGTATTTTTAGGTATTGTCTTTTAAGCATTTATAAATATCTGTTACATAAATCTAGACTCCACATTTTGGTGATGTATTCTGATACTGTGTTTCTTGGATTGTATGTACTAAAGAGTTTTAAAATTCCCAAGTTTCTCTAGAATCACTTTGAGAGGCTCAGAAAAGTCAGTATTTGCTGTCATCCGTACTGCACTATTTAATTCAGGAGGCGTCATTGGAAATCAAGGCAGAGTTCACCCAAAAACAAAAAGAAGGGAAATCAGGGATGTAGTTAGAAATGACAACACTTTCAGGAGCTTTTTTGAGGCCCCGAGGTGGAGTGGAGCATCAGTACAAATGTCAGGGTCAGGGCCCCCATGAATTGCCTCCTGATAAGTCTGGTGGTTTTCTCCTCCTTGAGTTTCTCCTCTTCGGGCCACCATGCTGATGCTTATCAGAGGATGACACAGGCTGCACATCTGAGCGCTTCTCAGGGAGCACGGGATTGGCTGGTGGAGCAGGAGGTGTTGGGACACAGCCCTGCCATCTCTGACTGTGGACATTGTCATCCAGGCTGGAATTGGGGCCAAATTCTTACCTCCATATTTGCTGTATCTCCTTGGCTAGTTTAGCAAGAAGTGCCACGGGAGAGAGTTTATTATTTCAGGTAATTTTACAAATGAGCTCCTTACTCTAGAATTGTTGATCACAGCCTCTCAGTGTAGACGGTGAGATAGTTTGTTCCTCTGGGCCCTGGCATTTCCGGCGGATCATCCGTACAATGGAGCTGGGTTGATCTCAGGGCTGCCAGAGGCAAAAAGGATTGCTGTCAATGAAATTTGCATTCCCCCCCTGCCCCCCGCTGTTTTTGTTTCCTTCTTACAGGGAGATTTGGCGGATTCTTTTTTCATCGTAGAATCGGGTGAAGTGAAAATCACTATGAAAAGGAAGGTGAGTGTTAGCAAGTCCTTAAAAATCCATGTTAGCCATAGAGCAACAGGCTTCCTTTCTGATGCTCACCCTCAGGTTAATGGAGTCTTCATGAGGGGAGTCAAGGCTCACACCCTTCCTTACCTTGTCAGGGTAAATCAGAAGTGGAAGAGAATGGCGCCGTGGAAATCGCTCGGTGTTCTCGGGGACAGTACTTTGGAGAGCTGGCTCTGGTCACTAACAAACCTCGGGCAGCTTCCGCGCACGCCATCGGGACTGTCAAATGTTTAGGTAGGAGTCACAGTGGTGGACGTGCCTCTCCTGCTTGCAGTTGGGATGCCTGCATTCCATGTGTTCATGGGGCTGTACCGATGATTGCACTGGGTCCCCAAGTTTTATGGTCCCCACAAATGAGAACAAGGTCAAGATTCATGGCATTATAGAATCCATTTGTGGGAGCCCGTTTTTTCCCATACCTATTTTGTTCTTCCGTACGGGCGTGAGAGAACATCTTGTTTTAGTAAAGAATTCAGAGTATGGAGTTTTAGGTCTCATCGCTCAAGTAAAGTTTGTGTTCCCCAAAGAAAAGCCAGCCAGAACGGTATTTTTATAGCGTTCATCAAGGTCTGTGGGCAAAGCCTGAAGGTCTCTGTGAACGCTTCCTCCTCCTAGTCCTACGGAAAGGAGGGTCGGGTTCATCCAATGCAGGATGGTTTTCTTTGCTGTCCAGCTGTTAATGATGCAGCATCACAAATGCCACGTTCAGCTGGAACACCTCTATGTGCATCTGAGACCTGACCTAGGAGAAAGAACCCGCTTAGTGAGAAGTGAAACCCAGGAGGAGTCCGTGTAGAGGACCCTGTAAGAAAATTGATTCCGCAGTAATTAGCCACTCTGTGTTCTCAGACCTGCAGGCATCTTCAGAATTCACTTCTTAGAGAAGTCGCTTTTTAAAAGGCTTTCAGTACGTGTGATATTAATCAAGTGTTACACGTGGATGAAAGAGAAGGTAGGTAGAAACTGACAGGTAATTTTCCTGAGTACAGACAGGAAGAGGAAGAGTAAAGGTGAAGTGAGTGAAACCGCGTTAATTTTTTTCTATAATAAACTTACATTAAAGAAAATCTGAGAAATACAGAAAAGGGTAGGAAAAACTCAGAGTCACCCATACCACCACCACCACTACCCTGTGATCCTGTTCTAATTCCTTCTCATCTTTTTCTATTTGCATGGGTTTTCTGTTTTAAAGTTTTGTCAACTGCTTTTTTTTTTCATTCACTGTAGCTTTGTAGGCACTTGCTCATTTTATTTATCATTTAATCAAATTGTAACATATGAGGTAAACATACACATTATAAGTTATTCAGTCATTTCCCACTGGCAAATATTTTGGGGGTTTGGGCTCCATATTTTGGGGGTGGGGGAGAGTTTTTGGGTCTGTGTGCACGTACTCTTTTCCCATATATAGGATTTTTCCTTAGCATTGTTCTCAGGAGTACGCTTTCTTTCTATGGTGTTCGAGGTATACTGCCAGCTCTTTTGGTCTGTCATAATTTACATGCTACCAGCAATACAAGAACGTCCACTGCCTCTGTTCTTGTGAACATTGTCTTTTGCACCTTTGCAAATTTGAGAGGCAAAAAAAACCATTTTTTTTTTTAATTTGGATTTCTGTGGTAGGGAGTGTGATATTTTCCACGTGTATATTACAAATTGAGTTCTTAAAAATGCAGGAGACAGGCAGAGAAAGTGACAGACCCCATATACTTAGAAGTGGACAAAAGCATTTTGGCCACCATGTTGAATTGACTAGCAATAGGATAAACCAGTAAACATTACAAAAGGTAACCCTGGGTCTTTACAGCACAGCATTTTAAACCCTGAGAAGGGAAAACAGTAGAGGAAAAAATCCCTTGCCACCTTTAAGGAGTTCATATTATTGAAGGGGTGACATCAAAACTAATTTATTTTAAAATTCCAAGGCCTTGCCGTAACAGCCCTTCATTTTTTTCTTACCGTAGACCAGACCAGTCAGCCTCCCACCTGACCTAGCATTGCACAATCAGATTATCAAGGGAACACTGGCTGTTTACTTTTTGAGATGGATCATTTTTATCCTTACGCCCTTTTCTTGCATTTGATAAATATCTAAAAATACCATTGCATTATTGACACCTGCAGAATGGGCATCGTAAATGACTTTGGAATTTTTCAGATTTGCAAAGAATGTTAAATTTGTTTTTCTTTTATTCTCCCCTTTTCTTAGCTATGGATGTGCAGGCGTTTGAAAGGCTTTTGGGACCTTGCATGGAAATTATGAAAAGGAACATTGCCACCTATGAAGAACAATTAGTTGCTCTGTTTGGAACTAACATGGATATTGTTGAACCCACTGCATGAAGCAAAAGTATGGACAAGACCCATAGTGACAAAATTACACAGTAGTGGTTAGTCCACTGAGAATGTGTTTGTGTAGATGCCAAGCATTTTCTGTGATTTCAGGTTTTTTTCCTTTTTTACATTTACAATGTATCCGTAAACAGAGTAGTGATTTAATACTCAATAGGCTTTACCATCACTTTCTAAAGAGTAGGTCAAAAAAATACTGACATACTGATGAGATGACTTTGTACTCCACAAAATTATGATTTGAGTGAAAGATTTATTCAGATGATTGTAATATACTGAAAGTATCTGTGTGTAAGAAGATAATTAAAGGATGCTGCCGTGGGTGATACGTGTTCATTTGGACTTCCCCGGATTGCTGTGTTAGTGAGTGTGCCCGTGAAAAGGGACCCTGGCAGTGACTCATGCTGGACAGCCTTGCATCACATTCTTTTTACAACTCACTATATATAGTAAGTACAGTTTTAACCATTTTTGTTTTCTCAAGTTTTTCTGGCTTGATAAGTTATGTGCTGGCCTTGGACTACGGTAAAATGGTAGAACACATGATATGCAATTTTCAAACCTTTTCTATTTTTGCAATAAAGTACATTCTGACTTCTTTGGCATAATGTCAGTAACCTCCGTACTCCAGTGGTTTTAAGGACAGGCAATGTAGTCATTATGATAATAGGGAAGAGTCTTTTTTAGATGATTTAGATCATTGACACAGTTTGCTCCTAAAGCATATATCTGCCTCCTTTTTCCATTTTGTAGTTCTCTGTACTCTTTAAAAGTTTGAGTTCGACATGTAATGTCACAAATAGTTTTTTTAAATGCTATTTAAACTTGTCTTCTAGAAGTCAGAGATCTTACATATGCAAAAAAAAAAAAAGAAAGAAAGAAAGAAAAGGGGAAAAAAAGACCTCTCCTATACCAAAAATATTTTGGGGTCCTTATCAACATGCCCACAGGATATTTCTCTGTTCTTCACTAGGTGTACATAATATCCTTTGCAGACATCTGCTCCCATGGGTTTCCTTTAAGGTTGTAGAAATAAATTTTTCTGAGCAAAACCATATGTAAAGATAAAAGCAATTTCTGCCCCATCCAATTAGGCCTTGCCATTTGTGTTAATGTAGACTCAAAAGTGCAGGATGAACTTAAATAATAGATTTTCATTGATAATATGTTTACTATTCTGCCACATAAGATGAATTACATTCAACCAAAGCAGTATTATTCTTAACATGATTTCTAGGCCCACATGACCCCAGTGTCTGGAGAGGTTAGTTCTAACCAGTTGTTCACTTTTAAATGAGCCCATTGCATTTTGGGAAACAGGTTTTACAGAAATACAAACCTGGGTAAAAATATTCTGTGGCTCTTATAGTGTGATGTTATTAGAGAATGTTTATGGTCTTACATATATAATGAAAATATGGTTAAAAATGTGTTCATCAAGTAATGTACATATAAAAATTATGTAAAGTATAACTTAACCACATTTTAGAACACTGTTTAACAATTTTGCAAACTTTCTTGTAGGAAGAGAGCTTACGACATGAAGATGACTTGTTTTCTATTTCAGATTTCATTTTAAAAGCCAGGTCTGTTAAAAAAGAAAAAAAACCACAAAGAACCCCCAGATTCCTGGCTCATCATTCTGTATTCTTTATCCACTTTTTCAAGATACCTTGTTGCATAAGCTGATTATTAACTATTCATGGAGTAGCAAACAAATGCCTGTTTAATAAAGAACTCTGACCAAGGCTGTAAATGCCAGTTACATTATTTTCAGTATTGTTGGGTTATATTTAAATTTACCTTATAATAAAGCACACTTTTATAATAAAATGTTTTTAATGAAGTTTGGGTTTTTTTTTTGTTTTTGGTTTTGTTTTGTTTCACTTGTTTCTGTCTTGGGATCTGGACGGTGCATATTGTACTATGTGAGAAGCAGGACAGACAGGGGGTACATGTGAAAGCTGCCGCCCCCACCCCTCCCCCCCGGGCCTAATGCAACAAGAGAGTATAGTACTTTATGGCAATAGGGATTTACAGATTTTAACTATTAGTCATATGTGATCTAAACAATTGTGGTATGCTGCAGACTAACTTGGCCGTGTAGGTTCACCAAAGAGTGTGACTAACTAGGGAGTTTACATGTTGAGGCATCTAATTAAAACACCTCACATTTGACTTGTAGATATGGATGTCCTCATTCAATCACAAACCAAGATTCTTTACTCTTGGAAGATTCTCCATTGAAGTGTCATTCAAGGATACACTCCGTGTAGCTACGAATTATTCTGGAAGAACCTTCTATTAACACAAGTGCTTCTTGTTTTATATAGTGTTGTGTGTGTGTGTTCTGCACGTCACTATGAACTAGGGCTTGCTGCCTATATTGTAACACACAGTGTCTGCGACACAAGTTGGGTGAGCATGCTTGGCTTACTGTTAGAAACTAGCAGGCCATTTAAAATGTGTAGAAATGCTGCAAGGGAGGCATGGGACATGAAGTAAGGGACTCTGGATTTGATTGAAATATGTCCCATTAAGTGCCAAGTCCTTTTCCTTTTTAAAGCATCTTGAAGATACTGATCTAGTTTTCCTAATTTTCTCAAGCAGTGTTTTATTTATAACAAGGAATGACCCATGGCATTCTTATTTAAAAATCATTTAAATTCAATTAATTAACATATTATTGGTTTCAGAGGTAGAGGTCAGTGATTCATCAAACACCCAGTGCTCATTACATCCCGTATCCTCCTTAATGTCCATCACCCAGTTACCCCGTCCCTCCACCCCCACCCCTCCAGCAACCCTCAGTTTGTTTCCCATGATCAAGAGTCTCATGGTTGGCGTCACTCTCCGATTTCATCTTGTTTTATTTTTTCCTCTCATCCCCTATGAGCCTCTGTTTTGTTTCTTTAATTCCACCTATGAGTAAGATCGTATGACAGTTGTCTTTTTCTGACTTATTTGGCTTGGCATAATACCCTCCGTTCCATCCATGTCATTGCAAATGGCACGACCTATATGGCATTCTTAAAGAAAACGTCATGTGTAAGCCCAGAGGGGTAAGTAATACATCTGGATAAGCCATGGCTTTGTTAAATAACTGAACAAGGAATTCTAATATCTGAATAAAATGTTAATACCAAAGGGAGAAATGGAATTATTCACGCATAAGGGAGAAAGAGAATAACAAGGAATGCTGGCTTCTGAAATTAAGAGAGTGTGAAGTGCAGCCTGATGTTGAATATCAGAATTTTGACCAAAACAAATTGGAATAGGAGTTGAGACAACACTGCCTGCTCCAGGATATTTTTAAAGGCGGCAAAACTGGTCGAGCAACTGAAACTATATAGTTGTTAGTCTTACCAGGTACTTAAAAAAAAATAGACCTTAAAAGTATAATGAATTATGGAAACAGTAAAGTTTACCAGGTATTGGCAGAGGTCTTGTGTGCCCAACAATAACTATGGGAGCTTAGATCAAGTCAGTGTGTGTAAGTGAGGAGAGTCGGTGACTTCGCCCAAATCAGTTACGTGGTGAGTCCATGGCAGAACTCGCAGGCAACTGAGATCTCGGTTTCCTGTGCAGTTCTTGGTCTCATATGTTTTCCCCATGTTGAGCCTATAGAGAAATCTGTATCAGGTTTACAGTGCAGATAGACTCTTGAGAGGAAAACTTTATTTGACCAACAGATCTGGGTCTTTTGTCCCTTTTTATGCTGTAAATTTATAAATCTAAAATCGCCTAAGAAATCCTGAAGATGCATGTAACATTTATGTTTGGGAGATGTAATGAAGTATGCTGTGGAAGTAACTGTTGGCGCCATGAAAATGAAATGACACTTACTAGGTAGGTGGTTATCCCCAGATTCAACCACAGCCTGAGCCTTGCTACCCTCCCAAAATCCCCCCCAAAGTGTACTGCAAATTGTATATATATGAAATGTTTTGTTAGTATCGATTATAATTGAGATGTTATAGTAAGTAAATGAAGTTTTACTCTCCCCTGCAAAAAGAAGAAAATGAGGTTTTTTTCCAGAGGGCCAGAGAAGGTTTTAAGTGGGGGCCGGAAATGTACTCAAATGACAAAAGCAGCCTTGGCTCCCGACCTCAGCAACCCAGAAGCAAAACCCTAAGTGTTTTCTGATTAACATGGAAAAAAAAGTTTACAAAGTAGAACCCTTGAATGAGCAGTAAAGATGACCCGTCAAAAATCTTGGGTAAATTTGCTTCTGGTCGCTGATTTTCCATCTTCGTCCTAATTGGAAACCTACCCAGATCCTGCTGAGGAACAAGAGAATAAACGGTCTCCCGAAAACTCTGCCTCTTTAAGGCCACTCCTTTCCATAAGGACTGTATTCTTGAAATGTATACCAATGACATGTTTTAAAGCCAAATTATTTTAGAAGAGATGCTATAAAAACATCTTTGGCAAATTTTTTGTGATTGCTCCTTAAATTAGCTGAACTTAAATAGCCTCCACATGTTTACTACTACGGCGCATTGTGATATGCTGTGGAACTTGAAGGAGTTGGAAGTGGATTCCAAGAATCTTGTTTGCCTTTGTGTGAGGGAGGTGAAGGAGAATAGCGCTTACCTTGTAAGAAGATGAGAATGCCCTAGAGCTGTGATGAATGTTCACACATGGAAAGCCCGTGGAAGCTTGCTCACAGTCTGTGATCAAAACAGCACATGACATACAACATAACACATAACACGCTATCCTCCTAAGAAAGTTCGTGCGGCTTATTTCCTCCTAACTTCTCATTCATTTGTTGAGCAGTCACCTGTTGACTGAGTGTTCAGACAAAAATATGCATAGGAGGTGGTGGCGGGGAAGGAGGAGGTAAAGTTGGTAAATGTTGGGGGGACAGCAAATGGAAACAAAATATTAAGTGTAGTCACAGTGTGATAAGAGCTGTGTACGTATTATTCCTGTGGTTTTAGTTGCTTTTTATCAGACTCGCCTCTAAAATGAGGTACTTTTGACTGGCAACTAAAAGAAAATACATAGATGAGGGCCTAAAATAACAGACACAAGGAGAAAATACGTGGGAGTTTGTGTTAAATGGTTCAGATAACGGGAATGGTCTAGAAAACTTGCAATGGAAGACATGAGAAGAGTCATTTGAAAGATGAAAACCCTCCTATTTCTGCTTCTTAATTTTACAAATAGGAAGTAGGATTAAGTCGAATTTTTTGTTGCCTTTTCTAAATGCTCACATTTTCATGAATACCAAATTGGGCAACTAACAAAAACATTTTGAGGGCTATTGAGGCCACAAAGCATAGTGCCCTCTGAGTCCTGAGGACACCCAAGTTTATTTCTGTCCACCTGGATCTCCTGAACTCCACATAGATTCAGCTGCTTTTAGGAACTCTGTACCTAAATTTCTTGCGTGCACAGAAAACTCATGATCTAAAGTTGAACCCACCCTTTCCTTCTCCCAGTCCTGAAGTCTGTTCTTTCCAACATTCCCCACCTCAGCAATGGCATCGACATACCACTAATACCCACTCACAGGTAATCTCTGCACCCAAGGTGGAGCTCAAACCCACAACCCTGAGATCAAGAGACGCATGCTCCACTGACAGAGCCAGCAACCCCCGCCTTCTTTATTCCCCTTTTCCTTTTCCCCTTGGTTCTTCCTCCTAAAGGTGATTGTGTTAAGACATCCAACATACCAACCACTTGGTATGTTGAAAGCCCTTGCTTTATCGTCATCTGAGTAAAATTTAAACTCGTAGTAGAATCAAGAATTACAAGTACAACAAACATATTACTCATTTCTAAAATGGCACTCATCATTAGCTCCCAGGCATTCTCTTACAATTTGAGTATACCTGAGTACTTGGAATTAATTAT